TTATTATTATTATTATTATTATTTTCAAAATTCATTTGAAATTTTTATAAATCCGCAAATACTTCATGACTCCGCATTTCTTTTTCACAAATACTTTCTTTTTTGAAATTTTCGAACATACGTCGAATTAATCATTTTTTCTCGGCATTTTTTCTTCGGAAAAAAAAAAATAATAAAAAAAATAAAATCCTTATAATTCGAAATATTTTAGAATTAGTTAAATTATTTTTCGACATTTTCTTTTTGAAAATATTTTTAATTAATTCTTTTTTAAAAATTTTAAATCTATTTATTTCTTCCTCGAACTTCGAAAATAATTCTAATTAATTATTATTTGGAAATATTTTAGAATTAATTCTTTTCGTTCGAATTAGTTAATTATTTTCCAAAATTTTTGAAAATACATTAGAATTAATTAAATTCTTTTTTGATATTTCTTTTTGAAATTCGAAATAATTCTAATGAATTCGTTTTTCCATTCATAAAATTCCTTTTTGCCATTTTTCTTGAAATTCAAAAGTTCTTTTTAGCAATTTGTTTCTTCGAAATTCGCTTTTCTATTCAAAAGTACTTCCTTTTTTTTCTCTTTGAACTCCTTAATTAATTTCGACTACACTCGATTAATTCACGACTGAATTAATCTCTTTTACTCGGAATTAATCACCCCTTTTCAAAATTATAAAATTTTACCCCGAATATAAATTCAAATAAATTTCATCGATATGTATTTTTCTCCAAATGAATTATTATTTTTCTTCATTTGGAAATTCCTGAAAATTTTGCTTTCGTATTTTCTTGAAAAATACACTCGCAAACATGGTTACCAGCCCGTACGTACAAAGGCCCCTAGGCCAACCTCCGTACGTTCGGGTGTTCGGGGTCCGTTCGGGGGCCGAACCCCTCCGAACCTGAAGAGGTTCGAACCCCGCCAAAAACTATTTCGGGGTTTTAAAATTATTATTTTTTCTTGAATTTTTTTTTGTGAATTCTCTATGATGTCAGGTACATGCCTCTAAATTTTGAGATCAATTTGCTTAGCCAAAAAAAAAAAAAAAAATCGCCAAAGATGGCGGTGTCAAAACATGCTCACCCACTCACTATTTTGTTTGTTTTCTCTTTTCTCCTTTTGTTTTCACTTTGTTTCGGTGCCTGAACAATTTTATTATTTTTTTATATTTTTTTTAATGATGTGAGATACACATATACAAATTTCCATAGAATTTGACTAAGCCAAAACAAAATAAAAAATATCCAAAGATTGAGGTGTTTAAAACGTGTCAGCCCACATACTGATTTTAATTCTCTCCTCAAATTAGTTATTTCTATTTATTTTTTTTGTTTTCCGTATTTTATTTTTATTTCAAATTCGGTGACGAATTTGGATGTCACTCGGAGGCAAATGTTGTTCAGCTGCATAACATATATTTTTTTCATATGTTTTGGACGACTTTTTTTTTTTTTTTTTTTTTTTTGTCAGTGTCCAGCCCGAACGGCCGAACGTGTCTACAGGGGGGCTCGAACGTTCGGGCGTTCGGGTTCGGGCGTTCGGCCCATCCTGAACGCCGGTAACCTTGCTCGCAAATCTGTTTTGAATAAATTCAAATTAATTTATGCTTTATTCTTGTAAATAGGAATTGTCCCCCCCATCCCCACATGCCACCACGCCAAACCAAGAACTCCTAACGTGCCGCCACCGTCGCCGCCGCTGCTGCCGCTGCCACCGCTGCTGCGATATCCTCCACATCCGTTCCGTCCGCGTCCTCCACCCCCTCTTCCCCCGACATGACCGCATCCTCCATCAACATGTGGGACATCCGCACCGACTCGGTCGATAGCATCGCCCACAACCTCGCAGGCGAATAACCACCAGCAAACACCGCCACCCCCGACCTCTTCGTCATCCTTTACACACTCAAGACCCTCCGAACCTCCGTCACCGCCTCTCTCAACGACATAAAGGCCAACATGTCATCCATATGCGACCGCGTCACCACGATCGAAGGGACCATCCCCTCCATCACGGTCGTCACCACGGCTCCACCTCCCTCCTCCATAGCGCAAACCACTCCCTCTTCCACAGCGCAAACCACTCCATCCTCCACAGCGTAAACCACTCCCTCCTCCACAACCGCCTCCTGCAACACCCCCCGCCGACCTCCTCCACTCCTACCACCTCTACCACCACATCCACCAATCCTTCAACATCCACCACCGTTCCGTTCCCTCAACCTCCTCCCTCATCCGGCGCATCCAGCACACCGCCTCATTCCTTGCCCATCCACGTCACCCCTCTTCCCACCCCGCACTCCCAAACCCTCTCCCAACCCATCTTGACCACCTCCACCATCCGCACCATCCGTCCCACCTATTCCCAAGTCACCTCCGGGTTCTACCCCGCAATGCCTTGAGGACAACAACCAACTCGACTATACCTGCTACGACACCACCCTCGATAACCTCAGCTTCAACGCCCTCGCCCAGATCATTTCCCGCGACGGGGAAATCCCCCGTTCCTTCTGATCCGGCAAAATCATGTCCTTCTTCGGCCTCCCCCACGAGGACGTTTTCCTCTTCCTAACCCAGCTCCAGAACTCTTTTCACCTCCACCACATGCCCCTTGCCCACTGTCTCCCCATTGCCACCTCCCACCTCCTCGGTAATGCCGCGAAATGGTGGATGGCTGAAGTCGGCAACCGCCGAGCCTCCGAAGGACTACGTCACTCCTTCCTCCAATGGGCCAAACTTCTCACTGCCACCTTCCGCCCCCAGAAAACCATTGATGACTACCTTTGTCACCTCCGCCAGACCGGTCCCACAGACCGCTTCATCCAATACATCTGCTCCCTCTGCCATCACCTCCCCACCACCGTCATTCCCGACTTTGCGTTCATCTCCCGCATCAAGCAAGTATGCCACAAAGATCTTGCAACCGCCCTCGCCCACGAACCCGACATGCCCCTTGCTGACCTCCTCTCTCGCATGCTTCACCACGATCGACTCCTCCATCCCCATCACCAGTCCGTGCCCGCTCCCTTTCGCCCCCTCATTTTCCATAACGACACCACTCAACCCACCTCCGATGATGACTTCGACACTGCATCTCTCGACCCCTCCCAATTCACCATTGAGG